TTCTCGAGATACACACAAGTCTGCAGCGCCCAGCTGGCCAGCCTCTCTGAACGCTTCAGGTAGACAGCTGTGTCTTTGGATTTAGTCTCGATGTTGGTACTGGGAGAGCTCCGCACCCAGTGATTATTGCGATTTTCCCGGCTGCCATACACCTACAAATAGCCATCGTTTCGTTGGCTGGAGAGAGGAGATAATGACGGTAGACAGCTCTTCCAACTGTTTGATAGAATGAGGACTCGTGAGGGGTAGAACTGTATAGAAGGAAATATAATACTGGCCTAGACATCCTTGGCCTGTTGGCAGAGAGGACTTACATATCTTGTGTAGTTTATGACTGAGAACGGATCATAATATATTTAAAAAAAAATAAAACCCACACCTTCATGTCGGCAGCTTCATCTTTTTCAAAAACACATCTCAAAATCTAAGGAACCGACTGATCGTTACCCACAAAATTTGGCTGAATGATACATTCCTGTTAGAATTTAGATATTTGGGGCTATCAAGTAGGCTACGTTGTTGATACACATGTGACTACAAATTCTTCACTTTGTTTCACTTTGGTACTTATTTGAATGAATACGCTCTACAACCTCAATGACTGAGGGCCTACTGTTTCTTTAATAATGCCTCGAGAAGAAATCGCTTGCTGCGGACCCCGACGCCCCTCAGACCGCTATATTCCACGGGATTACTCACCACCAATAATACCAAAAGTATCCCAAAACTTTAGGGCGCGTTCAACAATTGCTGTTTGAGGGTGCGTAGTCCGCTTCATATCGGGCCAATCAAGGTGAAGTCGTGTTCAGCACACTAGCTGTGCTTCTCGATCAACAGTGCTCCAGTATTTCTCAAGGCAATCTCACGACCAACCAAGCCTGCGCCTCAGAGCTTGCGCTCGCAGTATCAAGATTTTTCGATTCGTACGCGCACGATGTGACACCTTCTCAAGGTCATAGTTTTTACTCCTGGCGCTACCAATCCCGTACACCCTAGGAGCTTTGCGGGTGCCGCCACCTGACGAAGTCATTATCTCACAACCAGTCTCCATACAATCCAGCAAGCTTTCAATCATTCGAAAAACCAGTGGCCAAAGAATCCAACTGAAATTAGGAAAAATGATAGAATTTTCTTGTATCTAACTCCGAACAACTCTCTCCGCACCTCCTCCGGATACGCCCTTTGGTCGTACTTGAAAGCTAGGCAGAATATCGGAATGGATAATCAAGTTCCTTGAAAGCACGCAAAGAGATTTCTTGAAATTAGCCCCAGAAACTTGTAAATCTACCAGTACGAGAGTGCTCGAACAGAAAACCGCTGCTCTGACAATGGAAGTCTATCTGAAGCGATACAGGTTGCAATATGTTGGTCACTCAAAGAACCTACCAGTCCAAAAGATCAAAAATCTGCTCGTAGTAGCCTCAAGCTGCCAAAACAAGGGAGAGAGGACATTCGAGCAAAAAATAGCAGAACAGATCCAGCACACCTGGTAGAAATTTTGGGGGAGGCCTATTTTAAAAGACAGTAGAAAGAAGTGGGAGCGACCCAGGCATTCCAAGAATGATCGAAATTTCTACGAGCTCAAAAGTTGATTTAATAGTCTTGACAACTTGCTTACATAGACCCCAAAACGTGGAGAGTATTATGATTGGTATATAATTTGGGAATTTACATTTTCGCTGGAACAGCTAAAATGGTTTGTGGGGACATATCTTCATTAATATGCAGAATTGGACATACTATGATAATTACTGTATTACAGTTGGGGAAAGCTCGTCTCTTATCTCCTAGCTTGTTCGCTTGTAGACCGATCACGTAACCGGTATGCAGCGCACTAAAGTGTGCTCCCAACTGGGCAACTATGCCATCTGTCCTATATCAACAACCCATCTCTCTCACTGCACACAGTGTTACGAGCTACTGCCTCATTTATCTGTGGCCGGGGTTTATCCGGCTCCCAACAGGCGTCATTCCTAATTTAGTTAGGATCATGTGTTATAAAGGTAAGAGCTTACGGAGGTTAATTGGCAGAAGGTTTACGGATGATTATCGATGAATCAATGTGAACTGCTGATATATTTGATATTTAGGACTATGAGGATTTAGGAGGTTTAAAGCGCTAATTATATACACATCTGAGGTAGCTAGACTCTCGCCTCATTTACCCAAAATAGTATCACGGAATATTCTAGTCTCTTCCATCTGGCAGTACAATCTAGAAACAATTTCTATACAGTGCTCCATTGTTCCTCTACTCATCATGGAGCCACCTGGAAAGTTCTTCCTTCACCCTCAATGATCATTACCCTTGTGCATCGTAATCCTAGCCATCACCAGCACAACATCATGTAACTGCTTATGTAAAGTCCAATCTGAAAGAGTATGTCGCGATAGTTGTACAGGGTACGAAATGAGATAGTCAGCGGATTAGGAATCAAACGAAAATATCTATGGCGAAAGCTTCACTGAGAGAAGTAGAGGAACTTAAGGTAGTAATGCGGTGCAAAGGTTTTCCAGAGGAAGAGATGAGATTTAGAAGTAAGAGCGTATTTATATTCAGAAGACGTTACGTGAGATCTGCATATCCTAATGCTAAGCTTTATTATAAACCTAATTCAATCTAAATACCCGCAAAAAAAACCTAAATACCCATCATACTTTTCATACTTTTCATAATATCATGATTTTCATGATGTCATACTTTCTATAATATCATACCCCTCCCAACTCAAGGATATCGTATGCGATCTATGCAATGACGTCCTAAACACACAAGCAATGTTATTCCGATTTAGATGACGTCAGGACGAAGAGAATTACAGAATATTACATGACTCAGTACGAAGTCCGAAGATAGTGCATCTTCATCTCTACTATCAATAACTCATCACGATAGGAGGACGAAGGCTGAACACCTGTCTGTGGTGTCCTCTACGAACCTGGAAGTGAAATAATCTCCCAGAGCCGAGATTCAGTCACGTCAAAGGGTGAATTTAAGAGTTTTCGTCGAGTTGGCGATCGGGAGGAGTGGTGTTGGCTCATTTTTGGTCGAAAATCCGACTTGCAGAGATTTCACGACTACACAACTCAACGAAATCAACCATCTGCGCCCCAGATACGAACTACAGACTGGTTAAACCCTATCCGATGTTCGTATCACAACAACCGACACCTTCAAGATCTTATTTTCTTTTTCTCTGGAAAATTATTCTCAGCCAAACTCATCTCGCGGCCCTCTCAACAATCATCTCACCACCTACCGAAGTAATCCCATACCTCCAAAAGCCAAATTGCCATTAAAGAAGCAAGAGAATGTCCAACCAACGCAACTGCCAGTCACTGTGAAGGTACGGTCGAAATACCGGCCTTAAATGCGTCCTCACCTCAGCCAAGGGCGCAAACAACTCGACCTGCGACGAGTCGCCACCGAAGAAGTACGTACGAAATTTCGCTGGCACACTAACTAGAGCGTTCGACAAAAGCCGGGGCACCGGTGCCTCGGTCTTGAGCTCTCAAACACATTTTTGACCTCCACGGTTGGGGGTACGGCAGCGACGGGGCAAGGCCGCAGGGGTGAACATTCAACAAAGTTTCTAGGATGAAGAGATCGGTCGAAGGACAGAGAGATGCTGCATGAAGGAACAAAAGGGAATATAAACTGAGGAGGCCTTGGTGGGCGACTGGATGAGGCCTCCAGTGAAGAAAACGACACCTGGATGTGATGAGGAGATGCTGAGATGAGCCAAAGCTACGAATGAATCGAAGGAAAAAGTTACCGACGGCGAAGGTGTCAAGGGCTCGGGCGCGTGGTGGCCGAGGCTGAGGAAGAATTTGCGCTTCGGCGCATCAAAAGGGGGTTCTTCGGACGGTTGAGCTTGACATGATTCAACACATGGATGAAGTCTGAGGTGGTCCGGTCATTCAGGTGGGACGAGGAAGATGTACTTAATGGTAGTTAACCTGGTCCAGCCGGGCCTCACTAGTGCTCAAGCTCCAGCAGGAGTGCAACGGTAGTCACTTTACCAAGCAGATTAATGAACAACCAACTCATCATGATAGTTCAATCTATAAAATCAAAGAGACGAGGCGAGGCGAAGTCTCTATACTCGGGTAAATCGCGTATAGATAATATTCCCTCTACATAGAAAACAAATATCATTTTCGACATTTGTTTGCGAGAAGCTGAAGTACCATCCTGCAACACACAGTACTGCTTGTAATACCGTTATGTAGAGACGGGATCTCTTGGTTTGAGCTTTGCGCGCGTAAAGACTTCGATTACGAGAGTGCAGCGGATACCATAAAAACAAGCCAACGATGGAAGGCATCGTGGTCCGCCTTGTGGTAGTACTCTCTGGTATAGTTTAAGTAACCTAGACACTTTCTCCACTTGGAAAGGAGACATCTCAGATCAAATTTCGCGCGGAGGAAATAAATGGAGGCTGAAGGCATGTCCGGATAATTCAGGCTTTTTGAGACTTATCCCCGAGTGAGTCTTCACGGATGAAAGTTGACTTGGGGCGAAGAAAAAGCCAACATAACGTGACAGTGGCACTTGCAAATGAAAGTAGAGGCATGAGTGCTCTACATTTAAATTAAATTATCTTTTCCCTACTTCATCCCAATATCGTGTCATAGCTAGATAGCTGCATACGAGATTAAATCCTGCTGCAGAAAAATTTATATCACACTATTAACCTTTTATGTGAAAGCGACCTCTCTCCTCGCCATCACAATACTTTCTTCTATCGCTGATTAAATCTGGTATAATATTTATTCATAAGGCACATGGGCTTCATTAAATTTATGCTTTCGCTCTTACATGTGGCGTGATAAATGTGAGATGCATGTATTCTCATCTAGGGTCATAATGGTAGCCACTCCTCTGCTATTATAGAAGCTGGAACGGATAGGTAGGTGCCAGAGAAACTCTCATGATCATTAAAATGGCCCACATTTGCAATTCGATGCTATAGATTAGAGATTCGGTATGGAAAGAATCACAGTTTTTCCAATGGCCTTTGAATTTTTATGCCTTTACCCAGGAAGCCCGTTGCAATATACTCGGTAAATTTGAATTCCGACCGATCAAGGGCTTGGAGTAGGCTTAAAATTGAGGGTTTTTTTGTGATATTTTGATCATTTCCTGGTGACTGGCCTATCTGTGGTCTCAAGACAACTTTAATTTCGATTTTAGCCACTTCTTCCATCATTAAACGAATTGCTAGAGAGGTAGCGGCGAGGAATTTGAGGACATAATTGTCCTGGGAGAGACCTTCAATTGGGCGCCAATATTCGTCGACGTCCATGCGGAATACGGTGAGGAAGCCATGGTACCAGGCAAGTCCGAAAGACATTTTATCGATGGTTGCCAAACGAAGAAAGTGACCATTCAATACCACAGTAGCTATTTTAGTGGGCTCATGCAGAGATGCGGCTGGGGTATTTGAACTGTGTAGATACTTGGCATTCTCATCCTCAAAGGCTCGCAATTTACCATCTGATCTTAAACTCGAAATGATATCTTTGCTACATATGCTTGAAGGTTTAATTTTCGGGTTAGCTAGTTGATTATTTGATTTATTTTTGAGGGCATCTTCGATATAATTTAGACACTCCGCCTCCAACTTAGTTTCCGGGCGAATGCCATATTCGGTGCTTCGAATTAGCTTCTTTGAGCCCGCAGTAACAAATTCCAAAAGGGAGGCTTTGGAACGGGTCTGTGAGCAGTATATCGTCATGTGTGTACCGGGTCTTTTGGTTGGGCTGGGGCCCATAATTATGTCGTCTACATGTGCGACACTCGGGAACCAGCGGTCTCTGTTTGAACTGTGTGTTTGATAAAAAGATCTCTGGGGTGCAAGATCCATCACGACCAAACGATCTTCCATACTCGATCTTCCACCAGTATATAAGAGAATGGCGAGTAGGCAGCTCATGATAACAAATTTAATGTGAGTTCTTGATACCTCTTTTGCTCGTTGTGTCTCCTCTGTAGCTAGATAATGGCCAACCTAAAGATTGGTATCTTGCGAAATTATTTCAGATGTAGATTTTGGCACTCTGGATGAAGATTGAACGAAAATGACTGGATGAGCTGCGTCTTGGAGCGATGGGTGGAATTTGCTGGTAAACTAGGAGTTTCGAAAAAATTAAGATGGGCGAAGGCTATATTTAAACTGATCAATTACCATTCCTAATTAACTGGAGCTTTACGAGTCGTGCTTTACGACTTGAGGTTTTATTTTTCTCTTGACCCTAGGACATGCGGGCCCGATCTACCCATGAGACCGAGAATATATGTGCCCTGAACAATGCAATTTCTTTGATGCCTCTACGGAGTCTCACGCGAGTGATGGAACTTATATCGACCGTTTTGCAAGTAAAATTTTAGTGGCGCCGCTACCTCTCTTCTGTCCGCACAAACTAAGAGCCTGCACGCATGCATAGCCGTGGTGAGAAACTCCCAATTACTGCTGGGTGAAGGGCTCACCTAATTCCGAGGGTTGCATTGTATGGATTTATCCATGCCGGGGCTTGATGTGACTTGGCTTCTCGAGATTTGAGTCTAATTTCAAGGGTAATGAATCGAATCGAATGTAACTGAAAGCCCCTACGGCGTCTATAACTTTGAAAGACTGATAAGGCTATCTAAAAGGCTCTTAAGATTTTTGGTAATGTTAATATTTGATTTGTTATATATTTTCCCAAAGAATTTGAGAGTCATGTCTTAATTTAAAGTGTTCCAAGGACAGTTAGATGTGTAGACCTATTGTGTCCAGAGTCATCTTCTATTTTGCATATCCCAATTCAGTATAACATTATGCCAGGGAACTTTAGTACATGTCCTGTGGTAGGTCGTGCTATGGGAATCAATACCCGGAAGATAAAAGACTGTAATTTTCAAAACGACCTCCAACTAATTACGCTTACAATCATGGAGAAGATCTCTTATACTCTAATTTTAGTTATACGCTAATGAGACAAAACCCGACATTCTGAATATAGATTACTAGTACAGTGCGGACTCGTTATAACGATGTCATTCTGAGCCGCTATTTTATTTATTTGTAATAAGTAACGTCCTGCCCGCCGGCAAAGACGAATTCTTCACCTTCCAGTGGTGCCGGTGTAATCGCTCAGTATGCTCTGCATATCTGGGATAGCCAAGAAGAATCGCATCCGAATCGAAGTCGAAAGCAAACACATGCATATCTCCATTTGACGACTTCTCAACCATGCAGCACTCATCATTATCTTCTGAGTCCTCAACCCCGATCTAAACACATATCACCTCGCCTCGCCGACCGACAAAGGCGTCACCCCAATTGCAAACAGGAGCTTGTCTCATTCATCACCGGCCATCACTCACTACAAATCTACGACGCTACGTATACCCGCTAGGAGGAAATCAAGTCGAAAAATACAAAGTTGGGGTCTTAGTTTATGAGGGACTGCTGCTCTAATGGGGTTATACATCTTGAGGAAGGACAAGCGGCTGAGATGTGGAGCGAGAGGGGAAAGAGCTCTCTGAAGAACATGCTGGGACTGACATTTTCGAGGAGTTTTCAACTTTGGATTTTGTGTGGGCGCCAAGATCAAGATTTCGGCTACTTAGCCAGGAGGGCTTCTTCTGTCGACGACTTAACGTTACTACCCAGCGCCCTGGATGGCACAAAAGAAGTTGGGCTAAGCAACCACACAGCAATCACGCTCTGTCAAGGCTTTTCTTTCATTTCAGCACGACCTTCGGGAAGGAGTTGGAAGGAGGCTAGAAAGGTAGACGATGAATTTCCCGAGGTACCCACAAGTCTGCAGCGCCCAGCTGGCCGGCCTCTTTGAACGCTTCAGAAGGGTCACTACATCTTCGGATCTAGTCCTAATATCGGTATTAGAAGAGCTCCGCACCCAGTGGCTTTTGCGATTTTTCCCGGCTGCCATACGCCCGTCAATGGCCATCGTTTCGTTGGTTGGAGAGGGGAGATAATGAAGGGCAAAGGGCTCCTCTTAGTGTATGATCGAATGAGGACTTGTGAGGGGTGGTACTGTTTGAGGGGAGCTGTATGAGAGGCATAGGAGGGGATATACTACTGGCATAGGTATCCTTGGCCTGTAGGCAGAGAGGACCTGCATGTCCTACATAGTCATAGACTCAGACAGGACAACAAAATGAAATAATAATGTCGTGCCCGCGCACAGCACGTGAGCTCCTCACGTGCCAGTTACCTCAGTCTAAATAAAACTACCCGACGTGTTGGCACCTGAACAAACCCAACAAAGCAGATGAAAGCCAGGATCTTATCATCCTGCGCTTGAAGATTGAATTATACATGGTTACCGATCTCCCTTCAACTCTCATATATCAGATTCTATTGGATGAAGAATAAATGAAATAAAAAATATGGAAGGGGGAACTTATTTGAATCACATGACTTCCTTTCGGTCAGACTTGTTGTGCTTTTGCAAAGAAATTTGTGACACGCACCCAGCTATTAAATGCGTGAACTCCCTCCACTTTAGCAAGAGCCCAAGATATGTTGAGATTGAAGATCTTAGTCCTGTAGAGCTCTGCCTGGTACTGCCCGAGGTGGCAATAGAAAAAGTGGTCGGGGGACTTTTCTTCTCCGCATGAGCAGGTTAGAATGGCGTTTTCGTGCTGAAAGCGTCGGTGGTAGTCTGCAAAATCGCCATGTCCAGACCGTGCAGCTAATAGAAATCTTAGTGTGTGTCGCCCTAGACAGGCGAGCTCGGCAGTAATCTTAGTATTAGGACCAATTCCTAATTCTTTATATCTAGATGGAGAATTTTCTGCCCAGTGAAGTGCAACAGAAGCCTCGTATTGGGCTTTGACTTCCCTTCTTGCCCACGCAATAGAGAATACCAAGTGTAGAGCTGGAGCCGCACAAGCGGCTTTGGCAAGCGCGTCGGCTGCTTCGTTTCTCAGAATACCTGCGTGGCCCGGGCACCATCGGATGGCCACTTCCCCAGGCCTTGTGCTTTGGCCCCGTGACCTTCTTTTTCAATTCGCTGCAAGCTTGCGAAAGAGAGAGATTTTCGCTGAGCTAGACGCTGTGGGAACATTAGAGAGAAGACGGAGGGCGGCCTCCTGATTGTCAAGGCAAACGGTGAGGTTAGAGGCATAGAAAGCCAGTGGGTTGGAGCCGCTATTTTGTATCGTTATATCGTCTTATTGGAGAACGTGAACACGTGATAACGCGTATAAACATATTTAATTACTTAGTCCACTCGATGAGATCTTCACGCTTCCTCGCACATCAAACATGATACTGTTCTATCTCATAAATTATTTAAACGAGCTTTTTAATGTCCCTCGACTTCTATTAAGTTTTGCCTGCTGCTGGAGGCTTATTTCCATGCACATGAGTATCGTGAGTTCCATGGTGTTGGCATCTGGCCCATGCTCCTTGAAGCCGAGCAGGCGCTTGAGGCCATTTAGTGCTCGATTAATCGAAGAAGGCGGCTCAGCTGCCTCCCCATCCTCATCCTCTGCGTGCTCCTCGTCCTGTTCCTCCTGCTGTGTCAAAGTATGTACAGCAATGATATCCATAAGCGTGACCTCCTCCACGTCAATATTCTCGTGGTCGTGTCTATAATCTTAGTCGCCATTTAAGAATATATTTGCATGAGCTGGATCCAGACTTCTACTAGGCCTAATGAGTCGTGTGGGGAACTGCATGACATGCGCGGATTTAAACTTGGAAACAGATATTTATGCCTTTATTATTTGGCACCAACCTAAATATAGTCAGGCTTCCGCAATTGATAGTGGTTACATCATGTGACAGTTATTCGGTGTGTTTTTTGTTTTGTTTGTTTTGTTTTTTACATTTGGTCCTAAGCTAACGCTATCTTTTCCACATTGGGTCAAGGACCGGTGGAGCCGGCAAGGATCACTGCGTACAGGCCCAACTCATTCCAACCGCATGAACCTCTACTGAAATTGTAGAAGTTAACAGCAAAACTAAAATCAAAAACATAAATCAAAAACTGAAATCAAATTTGGAAGAAATACTGTTTGGTCCGGATCCCGCGCTTCTCGCCCGTTCCCTTTCCTGCCACATCTTCCACATGACTTTTTCTTATCTCCGCTGAGAGCGAAAGACTAGTTCGCAGATACCCTGAATTCAGCTGGTATCCTGCTATATACTTTGAAGCTTTTTGTAGACTTCACCGAGGGTTGCTGTACCCTCAAACTTCTTCTTCGGATTCCAGGATTCCGAAACCCGATCCCTCGGCCATCGAGACATCCTTCGTTGAGGCCATCGTTGCCTCTTCGGCCCTTTTGGCTGCAGCCCTAAATCGAGCCACTTTCGCGAACTCCCCTTGCTGGATCTGGCGGATCCGCGCGAGCTGCTCTTTTGTCACCGGTCCGGACTTGCTGGGTCTGGCTAAGCAGGCCCGGGAATCCGATCGGTGAGGTCCCCCACAGTTTCGACACCGGGTGAGGGCCTTGCACTCTGATTCTGAGTGCATATTAGATCCGCAATTCCAGCAAGCTGGAGCGCGGGAACAACCACGGGTGGCGTGAAATTCAAGACACCGTTTGCATTGTTCGATTTTGCGACGAGGTCGGAAGAGCTTTGCAGCTCCAGAGTCGTCGAAAAGGCGGAATCCAGGTCGAGGAGCGGATTCTCGGGGAAATAGCGCTTGCCAATTTGAGTAGGGCGCCCCTGGTTTGCTAGTCCCATGAGGACGAACCAGAAAGGGAACCAACTGGGTCACTCGCGTGACTTCGTCGGCAACCATCTTTGCCGTCACGGCGATTGGGCCAGCAAGAGTTCGAATTGTCTCCGGGACGGTGGCAATTTGCATGGCAACCAGATTTGATGCTGGTTCCAGTTTGATTCCAGATTCGCTCCGTGATGTGGAGGAATCTAGGAGCTCTGTTCGAGCGAGTTCATTCTTTGCTGTCAGTGCAAAGCCTGTTTTGACCCGCTGAACCAACGTGATATTGTTGGCAGCGGTTCCCAGCGCCTGAGACACCGCTAGCCTTACTCCAGCTGGAGAGAGGAGACGGTGGGGGTGGAAGTAGTCAAGGCGCAGAAAAAGTCGTGAATCGGCTTTTGTCCTCGAGTTGGCACTCTTTGCTTTGGGGGCGGGTGGTGCTGCCTTTTTTGTCGATGGCCCAGCGCTACTGACTAGGCCTGCCCGAGCTACGGTGGCCCAAGTTGTCTTTGGGGCCGGAGCCTGGATTGTTGGAGGGTTAGGAACCCTTATTTCTGGTGCCCTCGGCGGAAGAGGGTTGGCGGGGCGAGCAGGGAGAGCTGGTGGTGTGCTCCCTGGGCCAGATTGTACGAACTGGCCGATGGCTGCTCGAAGATAGACTTTGATTCCGTCTACAAATTCTTTATTATCGCCAATCGAAAGAGGCGAAAGTGCTGCTTCGACACCGCTGATTGCAGTCGAGCAGATTGCGAGTCGGGCGTTTATTTGCGTCGTGCGACGCTTTTCGGCCTCCATCACTGATTGCAGCTCTGGTGGAAACTCCATTACTGATGTCGATGCTGCGCCTTTAGAGGCTGGCACAGCATTGTTTCCTGCAGATGATTCTGCACGTTCGGTTGTCTTTTCTCGAACAACTTCCTTTCCTTTCCTGGAGCTGCTTGCCAAAGGGGGCAGTTCGACGGGGGGTTTGGTCTTGGGTCCATTGTTTTCTGCTCTGATCGGTTCAGAATCAGTCATCTCTTGATCGGGAAGATTTGTGGACTTCCCTGGGACAAAGGCCTCACTCGCAAATAGGCTTGATAATTTTTGCGCGAGGCCAGGTGTTTTTGCAGGAGCCCTCGGGCGGACTCTCGCGTTGTCCAACATTGAGTTTGGGAGCTTTTTTCGAACAGGTGGCATGACGAAAATGCCAGTGACTCGATTACAATTTATTGAAGGGATGCGACGAGCGCGAGAGGGAGAGAGAAGGGGTAAAGGTGAATATTCAAAAATTCGAATTTCAAAAAGTTGTGGGTGTGTGTGTGTTTTTATTGTACTACTTGAGTCTATGACTATCTAGCATATTGGGCTCCTCTCTGACCCAGGCCACACCTTGTACAGTGCTCCTATCCTCTTTTGTTACTTGAAAGATCACTGATATATTGCCCGTGATGAATAGCCATTCAGCTCAGTATTTACCCGTCGAATTCAGCCACCTTTTCCACGGAACCTTCTACCCAAACAAAATAAAAATGGTAGCAATGGAAACTGCGTGCGCGGGAAAATGTCTCAAAAAACCTGGAGCCCCAGCCAGGCAAGGCCTAGGCACCGGAGCCACATGAGGTGCGCATATTCGTCTATGTCTCCCTTCTTTGTAACATTCCAGACCGACATGATCCAATCCGCCATCTCAGTCTCGGATGCTGGGTACGCTCCGGAAACTCATCGGATGGCTTTTCCTCCATGGTCAAGGGTTGGTTGTGAGAAAGGCTCCGACCCTACCATCTGATCTGATCATGGTTAGCTTCATGATAGTGGTGATAGGGGAATGTGTTGAGAGATGAAGAAGATACAGACCGCGCAAGCGATTGGGAATCCTCGTCGAGGTGAAGACACTGTTACTCAATCTCGGCTCTGCAGGCTATACAGTGAGAGCTGGAGGTTCGTGGGGGATACCACAGACAAATGTTGAGAATAGTCCCCCTAAAATGAAGACGATCAAGTAAATAATGGTGCGCGAAATTTTCAACGAGAGATGGCAGTAGCCGTCTTGGAGGTAATTAGATATCAAAATATTTACATTATGGGTCTAGCCGAACTCAGACGACATCGGATGACTCGGGATTCCCGATGTTCCGTGATGCCCGCCCCTGCGCTAGTGGGGTGAGAAAAATATCTGATAAAATTCTCGAGATTAAACCACTAAATTAATCTATGATGCCATCTGGGACAATTATACACTCTCCGAGCATGAGCAATTTAGTTCATGGTCAAGGAGAGACAAGATAACGTGTCTATGTATGATCCATCCGAAATCTGATCCCATTAAAGTCGTGCCTCTTAACGAAAGGTCCATGGCGCATGACTCGTTTGGGGCCCAGTTAAAAAATGTTGGGAAATGAATCGTGTCAAGGCAATTTTGAAGCATCTGTGGTACTCTGTAATGAACCTTTTGCGACGGAGCCGTACACTTCCGTCACTACAGGCGTTGTGACGTCCTTGGGGACTCAAGTTAATCAGCTATTCCATCATATGTCCTGGCTCTAGGTCCCAGAAAGTCGAGCCAGCTTTCCACCATTTAGTGAGCCAGCAGTTCTAGAGAGGGATAGAATAGCAGACTCTAAAATCTTGACAGATATTGAGGAAAAATTGCAATCATGAACTGTCTACTAGCTATCCTTTTGACCATGGAGAATAAAATTTATCCCAATGGTCGTCTGGTGGTAATGGAACTCGGAGAGAATGCTAAGGTATATCATACCTATCGACTTACAAATACAACAAAATTCCGGCAAATTAGGAATCATACTGGCATTTTCATGGCAGCGGCCCCAATCAAACATTTCGGGACCTATCTTACAATCTACTGCTCCCCCTCACTCAGTGCTCAAAACTTAGAAACATTTGTCACCCAAGGTACAAAAACAATGGGCATGCATTCGGCCCTTGGCTTTCACCAAAGTGTGACCTCGGAAGAAAAATGCCTCGATTACCTTCGAGGTGGTTATGAGTTGTTGCAGAAAAAAAATACATCAAGTGAAGAATTTGAGCTGAATGCTCTACCTTATATACAGAGTGGGAGATGTACGGAAAGCTCGATTTACTGTTTAGCTTTACAAGGGGAAATTTCCTTACACGCCAAATATAATATAAATATTGAACAACAAGGGGATAAAACCATAGAGGTCGGATACCATAACGGCTTTCGCATGGACAGTATCGTGCTCAACGGTCAATTCTTACAAATTATAGAAACCGACCAACAAGATTTTGGACTCGCCTGGTACCAAGGAGACCTTGAAGTATTCGTAAAAGCCCCATCAAGTAACGTATGGAGTCTAAAAAGATCAGAAAGTGATGAATTCCCGGATCATCGTCTCATCATCGACCTTGTGGCCCACCGTTTCCAGGGAGTGAGAGCAATCATAGAAGCCTTGGATAGGCTAAACCGAAAGAATAGGGGTATTGCCGAGCAAAGAGATTCTTTGACACCATTACGTAATATCAAGATGTTACTTGCAAACTTGGGAAAACATAGAAAAAGATTTACTCCAGTACATGCGACCGGCTTCTTTGGTGCAGAGCCAGCTACGCAAGCCGTCAGTTCATAGTCGTACTTATTGATTTCTGGGCCACCGCTTGATTCCAAAAATGTAGTTTTCACTTCGTCATCAGTTTGTTTACTCTATTTTGCTTGTTAGCGTCTAATGGCGCATACCACGAACCAAAGACTACGAATCCATGAACTTGGTCGATGTAGAGATCTAAATATCAAGAGACTTTCCACTAATTTTCCGTAGGGCACAAAGGGAGATAATATAGGATTACAGAGTAGCATTTTGGCTTCTTTCTTTGAGGAAAAGAAGTATTTTTTTTTTAAATTTACATCCTATTGGAGTCTATGACTATTAAAGATGCGAATGAAGTATTTAATGTGCATGAAATGTGAAAAACGTTGCCTATAGAGAAAACCATCACGCGCCTAGTAAGATAGGGACAGGATGATTCTACCAAGGCTTATTCCATAGGAATCTATATTATTATTTCTTGATCACCGCAGGGCTAATGCCACCTTGGTAGGCCCTCGCATGAACAATAGATTTCCATAAACTGCCTTTCTACTATATAGTCACATTTATTGTGTTGAAACTAGAGCGCGCGAATTATCCCATACTACTCACCTATGAGACCCAACGTGCTGATTCCCTCCAAAATACATGACTGTCAATTGGCCTAATGACTTTACAATTGTTCATGTTGTTATGATCTAACGCTGTCCAATATACAGACTTCGTGGTGAGCAGTTATTACACCTCAAGAGATGGAACATGGGAGCGTTATAAAAGAGGGATCAGCCCACTAGCCAAATCTAAGCGATCACTGGCACACGTAGAACTGTAGCACATCCTCTGTAGATAGACATAACAAGTAATTATCATCAATAAATGAATCAACCTCCATGCAATTAAGATCCATAGAAGTGCCTAGCTTCCATACAAAACTTGATTGTGTTGTCGCAACCGCATCTATAACGAGCCACTACGGCACTCTAAAACAAAGTCTCTAACCATGATAAATTATACCAAGGGGTCTAGCGTACAATCGCTATACATGTGTTACCTTGGAAATGATGACTAGTAATTTGCCTGTTTAGGGATGGCGGTAGGAGAGAGAGATAACTACTGTACATAAATGTTCTTAGGAGAGGAAGAGAGAGAGGTATGTTTATTGTACTAGCTGAGTCTTGGACTATCTAGCACGTTGGGCTCCTCTCTGGCCCAGACCACACCTTGAACAGTGCTCCTTGCCTCTTTTGTTACTTGAAAGGTCTTTGATATATTGCCCGTGATGAATAGCCATTCAGCTCAGTGTTTACCCGTCGAATTCGGCCATCTTTTCAACGGAACCTTCTACCCAAGAAAAAAAATAAAAATGGTAGCAATGGAAACTGCGTGCGCGGGAAAATGTCTCAAAAAACCTGCAGCCCCAGCCAGGCGAGGCCTAGACACCGGGACCACATGAGGTGCGCATGTTCATCTATATCTTTCTTCTTTGTAACATTCCAGACCGACATGATCCAATCCGCCATCTCCTTATCGGGTGCTGGGTACGCTCCGGAAACTCATCGGACGGCTTTTCCTCCATGGTCAAGGGTTGGTTGTGAGAAAGGCTCCGACCCTACCATCTGATCTGATCGTGGTTAGCTTCATGATAATGGTGATAGGGGAATGTGTCGAGAGATGAAGACGATACAGACCGCGCAAGCGATCGGGAATCCTCGTCGAAGTGAGGACTTTGTTACTCAATCTCGGCTCTGCAGACTCTACAGTGAAAGCTGCAGATTTGTATGGGACACCATTGACAGGTGTTGAGAGTAGTCTCTCTGTTCCTAGGAGAGATACAGAGACAAATCAAGACACGTGATAACCACCAATCGTTATTATTGCTATAAAAAGCTCATGATACAAGTACTGCCTGAGTATTCCGATAGTTACCAAGCTGGACGGTGTATTACGGAGTGATTTTATCCTCTTCTTTTTTATCCCTCCCACCTCCGCTCTCCCAGTCCCTATCGTCTGTGTCTATGCAAGTCTATATTACTGGCATGGTATTCGTCATAGAGTCTCTGTCCCACGACACCAATGTCCAAGTCCCATCGCTAGATGCTAGCGGATTATCATTTTCATTATGCTAAGCTTCCCTAGATGTGTTGGTGTCCCGCTGTCAGAATGAAATTTATCGCAGGATTCATAAATTACATGCAGCATTGGCAGCTGTGTAAGCGTTGTCTTCCAGTCAGAAAACTTCTGGCCTATTCAACAGTTCTCCGCGGACCACAACCTTGGGACAAAGTACCCTCGAACTAGCACATCTCCCAATCCTGTTTTCTGCAAACTGAGGAATTCGGTAAAGGCATAGACACATGCCGTGCCGAAAAATTATGAATCTCAGTTTAGTCGCTTTCGCCTATCTTCATGCGAAAGATCGGCTTCTTGGTTGGAGGCGATGGAAAGATCACCAACGTGATACGGCGATGATGAAGATTGGTAACGGTGTTGCTATTACAGCTTCCTACATTTCTTTCTATCGGCCAATGTGGTTGCATGCATCTTGCCTGAACAATATTTCTGGGTTCAGGCAGGAGTCCATATTTCTGATCTAATCAGACTCAACGTTTGACTCAGCTGTCTCCAATTCTTCTCGAAAAAATCCAATTTTTGGTTTGGTCGTACTTTCTATTGCATGACTCAGTATTCTGAGTCGGTGGATAATTCTTTTCTGGTATGGGATCTTAATCATTTCTGCAATCGAGTCAGTTTCGGATAACTTTTCTCCCTTGTAATTCCACTGTATATATCATAATATCTGTACTTTACAAGCCATTTTAACAAACAAAACTTCTTCTCCGTTCTCAGGCGATTCTTACTTCGAAGTTCTCTCTATACCCTAACAAAAGGCTTAAAATCAATTCATTCTTCTGATGCAGCTGCTATGAAGCTTGAAAAGGCCATGTTGGCAGCTCTCGACGCTAGTGTTGATCGCAAGATATTGTAACTGGGTTATGAGCTGTTGAAAAATGGTGTACAGGCTAGCAACGGTAGAGAAGAGCAACACATAGTCTGGGTTGGTGTCGTGCTATTGAGTAGTTAGCCAACTAGCGCATTGGTCTTCCTTTTTTGCACCAGGTTTTAATTTCGTATACACCCATCTAGCTATGACACAATTTCAAATAAATGTACAGAATAGATGATTCAACGTAAGGGAAGAGCAGTCATGCCTCATATTTCATTTGCAAGTACCACTGCGAAGTTATGGTGGCTTTTTCTTCACCCCAAGTCAACCCTCATCCGTGAATACCCACTCAGGGAAACGTCTCAAAAACCCCGAGTTATCCAGACATGCCTCCGTCATCCATCAACTTTTCTCCGCGCGAAATGTAATCTGAAATGTCTCCTTCCCAAGTGGAGTAGGTGCACAGCCTACTCAAACCATACCAGAGAACACCACCAGGAGGCGGACTACGTTGCCTTCCATCGTTGACTTGAGTTTACAGCTTCAGCTGCACTTTCGCAATCGAAATCTTGGCGCGAGCCCAAAGTTCAATTTTTCAAATTGGATACCAAATTTTTAAATCTCACACCCGTTCATATGGTATATATCGTCTGCATCATCTTGTTTTCGTGTTGTCAAAATCGAGGGTCCCAAAGGTTGCGCTTGGGGAGATTACTGAGGGTTAAGGGTTATCTCAAACAATGTCGGGAAGGAAAGATGAGAGTTCGTAGTTCTAGCAATAACTTAGGACAAGAGAAAGGGGAAATTAGGGCAGGGGATATGGTCCATGAAAGACAAAATTCACTGCGTTATTCAGCAACATGGCTCTTCCTAATGTATATAAACATCATAGTAACCAGTGCAACCATTGTAACCCAGCAACTGTTTCTGTCCTTAGTCCCGAACGCCTGTCTTAAGAAATATCAAGTAGATCCCATAGCACTGTTTCCCAGACTTGTGCGCCACGCATTGTTTCCTCTATCGAGAATAAATATCGGCGTGGGCGTGTATTTAGTGGCCATTTGAGGTCAGAGAAAGTCAACAAGAGGTATGGTCACTGGAATGCGGATATACTAAGTCGTACTTGTAAGCTTGATGGATTCTTGGTGGGAGTCGAATTCTTTGAGAATGAAAGATTAACATGGTTAGAACTTGAATCATTGTCTCGTGGGCCAACTTATTTGGCGTTGCGCAATTTAATTGAACTTGGCTCTGCAAGAAAATTTCACTCCCAGATTCATAGAGGACACAGCGGACAGTTGTTCAGACTTTGTCCTCCCTCGAATACCTTTTCTTGTATCGTGACAGGTCTGTTCGGGAGGAATCGCCGGTCATACGATTATTTGAAGTTGGACGGGGATGCTACGACAGCAGCAACTTTTCGGCTGTTACTATCTCCGACAGCTTGAGACATGCTTCACCATGCGACATGCCCATGGATCAACCAAGACCCTATTCATTCATTAGATCGTAGTTGTCTGTGTAATTCGGAATGAACCCTGAAACCTAATACGAAAATAATAGGCAGGACTGGCCAGGATTGCATCCGAACGTACTAATTTGAGGTGTTGGAGGATCAACAGTTTATGCATCTACAACACATCAGTGTAATTAATCTCTACATTGTGTCGGTGAGGTAAGGAGAGATAACAAGTCAAAAGCTAGCACATAGGATTATCAGCGAGAGTAAACAATTCCTTCGGCGGAAACAAGCAGATATCCAAGTTTTCATCGCAAAGATCTAGCTGCATTTCGGCAACACAACGTGTCTCGGCATTTCCCTTATTCCGCCATGCCTAATACCGACGCTTGTGGGGCGGGCTAAAGATCCGAAGGAAATTCCCGAGTGTGAGCGATTAATTACACATATATTACCATCTATAACACTACCAGTCACTCCTAGCGCTGAGCACTGCACCTTATGATCTACGAGAGACAGGCTGAGGGGTCTGCATATGATTCATCTCAGATCAAATGCCATCGAAGGCTTGCCTTTAAACAACAAGTCCTTGCCGCATGACTCGTTCAGGCTCAGTTACAGAACATTAGGGAAGAATCTTATAAAGTCAGCTTTGAAGTGTTGGTAGTCTTCTATCATTAACTTCTTACGACCAAGTCGCATCCTTTCTCCTCTAAAAGTTGGTTGACGTCTCCGGAGGCTAAAAAATCAAACAATATCTTTATTTCAAGTGAGTCAGTCAGCAGTTTTGGAGATACAAATCTTTCCAGAGTTTTAGGGTGTAATCTAATTTGAAAGATACCCGCAATCATGAACTGTCTACTAGCCATTCTTATGTTAACGGAGAGACGCAACCATCCCAATGGTCGTCTTGTGGTAATGCAACTAGGAGAGCAGGCTGAGCTCTATCATACCTATCGACATAAGGAAATAAGCCGATTCCGGTCGGTTGAAGGTCATAGTGACATTTTCATGGCCCCAAGCTCAATCGAACATGCCGGGACCCATCTGACTATATATTGCTCCGCCTCGCGTAGCGTGAATAGTTTAGAGAAATTTATCATCGAAGATACACAGCAACTAAATAGGCTCTCTGCCATGGGATTTCACCAAGATTTGACAAAAGAAGAAGACTGTCTCTATGCCCTAAAAAAACGCCACAAGGAATTGCAGAAAATCCGAGGACTGAGTCCAAATTTTCGACTTAATGCTTTTCCTTTTATCGAGGATAGGAAATGTACAGAAAGTTCGGTATATTGTTTAGCTTTACAAGGAGAAATATCATTATTTGCCAAAGATGATTTGAATATCAAACATCAAGGAAAAATGACTATCCCGGTGGAATACAACAATAGATTTAGCATGGCCAGTATTGTACTTGGCGGTAAATTTCTGCACGTTATGCAAATCCATCAACAAGAATTTGGACTCGCATGGTACCAGGGAAAACTTGAAATATTTGTAAAGGTGCCATCAAGTAACTTGTGGAGGCTGAAAAAAGAAGATGGTAGATTCTCGCATCATCATCTCATCAACGGCATTATAGCCCATCAATTTCCGGGAGTGGGAGCGATAACGAAAGCACTGAAAAGTTTAAATCACAAAAGTATGGGACCAGCCAGTCATGATCAATATCCAGCACAGGTACAAGAATTCAATCAATTACTTTCAAAAATAGGCAAGAGCGGAACTGAGTTTAATCAAGTACTCGCGACCGGCTTTTTTATCCCAGAGCCTTATACTCACCCGTAAAGAGACGCAACTGATAGGTTATGTTACCTTGTAGAAATTAAGTTAGTAGGTAGTATAAATGAGTAGATTGTCTCCAGTGAGTAATTATGATAAAAAAATGTTGTATGTCCCATTTCATTAGCAGCAACTAAACTAGCTATATCCCAGGTGGGACGGAACCGGAGCTTCTTCCAGTCTCACAAGACAACCCAATACTCGACTGTCAACAAGTATATTTCGTGCTAGTGTCAAATTTGAGGATGGCCAGAGTTGGCATGGGGAAAAATATTGTTAAGGGCTAGTAATACATGGCAGAGTCGGCAAGAGAGAAGGGTATGGTATGTGGATTTAGATACAACTAGGGAAAAGGAACAAGGTCAACGGCTGACGAGAGACAGGCTCTCTCTATCGATACATACATCGAAGTTTCTATGGCGACCCGAGGCCTCAAAAGAATTGTCTGCTGCCACTCCATAAATTCACTTCTATACCTCTGCAACTACTACATCTGGAGGACAAAGATATTTTTGATTAATCTACGTCCTGCTGACGCACAACACTAGACTGTGAGGGCCAAATGCCAGTTAGCCCGGTCTTTAACGACTACCCGACGCGCCAATGCTTCCAAAGAGCCCTGAAATTTTCAAAGCGAGGCCGAGTCACTACTCAGCGCCTCGGAAACTTCTCAGGGATTTGAAAAATTGACAGCCTCTGCCAACCTTCAAACTGATATCCTTCCAATCTCGAGCTCCTTATCTCAATTACTCCCGAAGAGTCCATGGCTCAGCATCTCCCTATTGTGCTAACTCGGTTGAATTGTTTGTATTCAGGGGAAAGAGGATCGAATTTTGTGTTGGGAATGGGTGGGAAATACAGGCTGGCGCACAGACGCTGTTCATGTACTGTCGGTAAAAGGATCACATTTGGGTAGTATGAATTGTTCTATGTATTTGCGATATTCAGGTTGTCGTTAGCACACTGGCAGGGGTCTGATTTAGCTCATTAGCGAGGCGCTTGGAGTAGAGGAAGGAAGGGGAGAAGGAGAAGGAGAGAGTGAGACAACGTTTTATGTATATCGAGATACCAGTTAATTGACATTATTCACCGACTTCGTGACGGACAGCTGACTTCGTGACGGCACCCAATTTGTATTACTTCGTGTTTTACCAACATGTACTATACCAACTCTTCATCTGCCGTGTTTAATGAGGTACCTATCCATATAATATCATGGAGGGCAAGACTGAACACCTGTACGCGGTGTCCTCCATGAACCTGGGAGTGAAATATTCTCCCAGAGCCAAGTTCAGTCAAATTTCGCAATATCAAAGAAGTTGGCCCACGAGGCAAAAATCAAAATTACTCCTCCACGTCGTTTTTTCGCTCCCAACGAGTTTGACTCCTACCTAAGTCTCATCAAGTCTACAAGTACGACCTAGTACGACCAAGTACATCCTCATCTCAATGACCACACCTCTCTTCGACCTTCTCTGGTCTCAGTTGACCACCAAATACACGCCCACGCTGATATTTACACCCGACGGAGGAAGCAAAGCGTGGCACACAAATCTGGGAGACAGCTCTTTGGGATGGACGTGATAGGGATTAGGATAAGTTTACATGATGATGCAAAGGAAGGACTAAACATCGACGGGCGTGAAATTCCAAATTTTGACAAGGGCTTTACGAATTGAGCTTTGTGCGCGCCAAGACTTCGCTTGCGAGAGTGCAGCTGACACTATAAAAATAAGCAGACGATGGAAGGTGACGTGGTCAGCCTCCTGGTGGTATTCTCTGGTATGGTTTGAGTAGGCTGTGCACCTACTCCACTTGGGAAGGAGACATTTCAGATTACATTTCTCGCGGAGAAAAGTTGATGGATGACGGAGGCATGTCTGGATAACTCGGGGTTTTTGAGACGTTTCCCTGAGTGGGTATTCACGGATGAGGGTTGACTTGGGGTGAAGAAAAAGCCACCATAACTTCGCAGTGGTACTTGCAAATGAAATATGAGGCATGACTGCTCTTCCTTTACGTTGAATCATCTATTCTGTACATTTATTTGAAATTGTGTCATAGCTAGATAGCTGCATACGCAATTAAAATCTGGTGCAAAATATATATATATATATATATATATAATATCATACTTCATGTCATCCATTAAATGAAATTATCAATCATTGGGATGCGCATCAAGTATCTCCATAGATCACCATTGTCAGTACGAGTACACATTCGATACATTACGACACACATTGTGTCTAAATATGTAATTCATAAGGTTAAGGGTAACTTGGTTGGGCAGCCTAATCGGGAATAGTGTAACGAAAAAAATCAATGATTATGTACATGGTCTCTTCTTCGGTATAGAGGAGGAAGAATCATCTGTGAACCATCCATATCGTTGCAACTAGCTTGTGATTAAATTACTCCGTAGGAGTATTCCGACCAATTGGCCACGATAATACGCACTCAGTATCCATCGTGCCATCAACCCAGCATGAACGCTCCAACTACGCGGCTCACTATAGCACATGAGCCCGTGCCACTCTGCCGAAGGGCAGCAGAGTCATATAATTGCTGTACACCTCACAGCTCATAACCACAATACTCTCCCATGGAGGGCAAGACTGAACACCTGTAAGCGGTGTCCTCTACGAACCTGGGAGTGAAATTTTCTCCCAGACCCGAGTTCAGTCAAATTTCGCAATACCGAACAAGTTGGCCCTCGAGGCAATGATTCAAATTACTCCACCACGTCAAATTTTCACTCCCAAAACGATCGAATCCTACCTAAGCCTCATCAGGTCTACAAGTACGAACTAGTACATCCTCATTCCAATGACCACACTTCTTTTCGACTTTCTTTGGCCTTAGCTGGTCGCCAGATACACGCCCACGCCGATATTCATACCCGACGGAGGAAGCAAAGCGTGGCGCACAAATATGGAAGACAGTTCTTTGGGATAGACGTGAGAGGAACAACGACAAGTTGATAAGATAATGCAGAGGATGGATACAGTCTCGACTGGCGTGAAATTTCGAATTTTGGCAAGGAGATTTTACAAATTGAGCTTTGTGCGTGCCAAGACTTCGGTTGCGAGAGTGCAGGCGACACTATAAACATCGCCATGGTTGGATGGTGCGGTGGTACATCGTCTTGGCCGATCTGCCAAGTAGAGTCTGGATAGCTTGAACACATATCCCACTTGAGACAGTAGATCGCTGGTTCAAATCCAGCAAAACACAACCACATTTCTCGCGGCGCTGGTATGCATGGATGACGAAGGCATGCTTGGATAACTAAAGGTTTTGAAATTCCCTTTGGTGGGTACTTACAGAGGAGGGCCGACTGTTTGTGTAAGCGAACATACCTCATAGTGGTATTTGCGAATGAAATCCAGAGTGTGAGTGTCTCTAACGTCAAAAGAGTCATCCCACATGTATACATAGCACTGGTCATGTGTCATAGCTAGATAGCTGAATACAAATTAAATGATTCAAAAAAAAAATACTCTCCCATCTTCATTCGCAGTCATTTATCTCGTCATCCGATATTCATACTACACAACTCGAGATTATCATCTTCCGGTATTTACCCGTCATAAACAATGTCTGAAGAGGGGGTTACGTTATGACTTCTTCGGCATGAGATAAGGAGTTTAAAATTTTTAGAGGCATCAGAAAGGGTTGCAGCCAGCAGAGATGAATTCCTCATCCTCTGGTGATGTCGGTGTTAACGCTCAGTACGTTCTACATACCTAGGACAGCCGAGTAGAATCGCATCCGAATCGAAGTCGGAAGCAAACACTAGCATATTTGTAATTGACGACTTCTCATCAATATCTATCTTGTCATTCTCACGCAAGTTCTCAACCCCAATATTGCCACATATCACCTCACCTCAACTGCAAATCAAGGAGTCATTCCAATTGCAAACGGGATTTTGCCTCATATATCATTAGCCATCACCCATTATTAATTCCACGACGATTCGTGCACCCGCAAAGAGGAAATTAAGTGGTAATGAACAAAGCTCGGGTCTTGGTTTATGGGGAACAGTTGCTCTGATTTTTAATTTTTTCTACGTTTATTATTATAATTGAAGATATGATTATCAGTCATGTTTGGCCCTACTCTGACCCAGTGTGAAAGGGTGATTGGTTCTGCTTATAAATCGTAAGCTGAATGGATTTGCTACGAATCTTAAAAGAGGTGAGGGTATTGTAAAGGTGGAGAGCGACTGTGATGCGATGATGATAGAGAAGAGTATCGCTAGGCGAAGAGAAGAGTATGAGACGGGCAAATATAGAAGATATATGTCTATACTATGTACAAAGATGTTAGAATTTAGAATAATTGGGGCTATCAAGTAGGCCACGTTGTTGGTACACACGTGACTACAAATTCTGTACTTAGTTTCACTTCTGTAGTTACCTGAATCAATGCGCTCTACAACCTCAATGACTGAGGGATCATTATTTCCTTAATAAAAGATGTGATAATATTGTATCATATTCATTAACTCCTTAACCCCATGTGTGTGTGTGAAAGAATCGTAGCCTCGCTTCAACCTCGCTACAGACGAACTAAATAAGGCTTAGTCATATTGTCTAATCGACAGCAATTGGTGCAGTCGTGAACTCTCTAATTCCAACAGAGAGATAGAGAGGACTGACGCGCGACATACTTTTATAGAAGAGACAGGGGTCCGAATGCTTTTGTTAATGATCAACACCTTGGTCTCAGTAAGCGTTCCAACTACAGAATACGAAAGCTCGCCACTCAGAAAGTGCTCAAATCCTCTTTTTTATCTGAAAGGTCATTGATATGTTGCTCGCGATGAATAGCTACTCGGATAAGTACTTATCCATGGCATTTAGCCAGCTTTTTATCGAATCTTCTACTCAAAAAAAAGTAGCAATAAAAATAGCTTAGGTATAGTTGGGCTGTGAGCAGAGAGGATCTACATGTCCTACGCAGTCTTAGACCGAAAAATGACAACAATCATATAGAGGCAGAGACATTGGCTCAGGTAATGAGGAGATCAACACAGTCCACGTGGGTAGCGAGATTCTACAAGTCAGCTGTTGTACTATCAGGAAACTGGGGAACCTATCCTGTAGTAGGTGAAGAATATTTACGGGTATCAACAACTCAGTAGAAACAACTTGATTCTTTCTTCCGAACATCGGTTCCCAGAAGTTATCACTTCTCTAGGTGGACCGTGCGTTTAACTAGCTAATTTAAAGTAATCTTTTATTGGACCCAATACATCCAAATGTGATCCAAACACCAAATAAACCTTAGATACTTCCTGATGTCTAACATGTACAGCATGATGAAGAGAACGAACTTCATGCTTGACCTCGATTTTGGATGAGGCCGAGCTTGGTAATGAATACAAAAAAGGCTCGTCAAACCCTTTCGAAGTATCCAAAGAAATGGCTTAGAAATAGTCAGAGGAGCCTATAAATCGGCCAGTAAGAGAGTGCACCAACACCAACCTGGTACCTTGTCATTGGAAATCCAACTGAACCAACAAAGGCTCCAATACCTTTGCGTCTCAAAGACTCTAGGATAGTATCATAGCTAGATGGGCTGCATACACTCAATTATCAAAAAAAGTCTCAAAAAGTCCAAAACATCATGAATTCTGCCCGTAGTAACATAAGCTTTACCGAAGCCGACATTCAGGACGATGCTGAATAAGTCTCGCGAGTCGCCTGTTGAGAAAGGCCGTCTAGTTAGCGTCAGGGTAAAGGTCATAAGATAGACTGATGAGGTTTAATCTGGTGATTGAGATTGTCTACAAAGAGGAAAGGTGACTCATATTGACACTTATAAATACATACATATATTGTGAATTGCGCATCAAACGCGCGACAGCGCGTGACCATACGATCTCTGAATCCACTCCATCCCTAGACAGTTAGCAAGTTAGTCGAGTGAAAACTGTACACACCCTCTGTTCTTATCTCACATACATCATACATGTCCTTACACAATCATCTAATCAATAGGACAACAAACACAAACACACGCATCACATCATACATTCTCTATATATCGCATTTTACCCCCCGTACGTTCTACATTCTCAATATCCCAACATCGCCACTTTCTCCTCACCATCACCTGACAAGGGCCTAAAGCATTCTAGTGTTAAGACACTGAGGAAGTAGAGTCACAAGGGTTATATTAAACGGAGCATAATGTAAAATATGTGGAGAAATGTATGATTTGTTACAGTAATTCGGGACGATGAGTTGAAGTGAAGTACCGAGTGTGGGGACAGATTTAACTTAGCCGACCAGCTGACTAAGCAGAATTTCTCGACATCTAGCGATGCAGGTTGCTGGCGGGCACGTAGTGTATAGCTCGTACTTAGAAAAGTACCCGGTGTCTAAAACCGAATCTTCCTGTGTGGCTATCAGTCTCAGAATCCCAATTACATGGATGCGTCCCTTTTGCCGATGTTAAGTTAAAGAGAGGTTTTGAGATAGGCCAATGGTGGGTCCTTTAAAGCCATATTAAAAATCCTTGGAACAACAAGAGAGTCACAGAGTGGATTTTAAAGTATAGTTGGATAGAGCAATTCCAGATGGCAAAGGCAGCAGAAATGCTGCCGAGTGAAAGGACCAGGTCAAGCAATCCTCGGGTTCAATGGATTGATGAGACTGGCTTACATGGGTGGTGATACAGTGAAACTGCACCTCCTGAAGACCAACAGGGAAAGCAAAGACAATAAACAGTTGGTTTGGGGTATTTTCACCTGAAGATTTCCTCCCATGTAAATATGACTGTTCATAGACACCTTCATGGGCCAAGAGGGCATCTAATCAGGAGAGTGAAATCATATTCTAATGATCGTAGCTGCATGAGTCATTCAGATAGCTGAGTACAGTATGAATCACCATAATAAAAAATAGTCATTCTGAGAAAAGTGTATAATTTGAGCCAATTTGGTCGGACTGCACTGGCCAGGATCGCATCCGAACCGACTAGTTCACGGCGGCTGATGGGGGCCATCCGTAGATGTATTTGTAGGTTCACATCGGCTACATTAATCGCTGCTTCGCGTCCACGAAATGAACAGAGGTTCATGTGATAATCGACATAAAATGAAGGAGCCTCGATCGGGTATGCAGTCACCGCACTACCCATATGAGCATTTCGGCCCACTTATACAACGCCGGGTGACTCGGCATGCCTTGCCCCAATACTGGTGGAGTGTGATCAGTACTTAAAGGAGACGCTTGAGGCCTTGATCAGTAAATACACTTATACCTCAATCTACGGTACCGCTACTTGCCCTTCGCACCGAGCGCTCCACTTTATGATCTACGAAAGACAGGCTGAGGGGTCTGTAAATGATTCATGTCAGATTTAATGGCGTTGAAGGCTTGCCGTTAGATGACAGGCCCATGCCGTATGACTCATTTTGGCAAGGTAAGAAAAAATGATGAAACCAATCTTCAAAGGCGGCTTTGAACTAGCCACAGTCCTAGCTTATTACTTCTTTCCAATCGACCCGCATCATTTCGTCCCTACTAGTGGTATGACGTCTCCAAGCACTCGAATATCTTGGATTTCTCCCTAGATCCTAGAGATATAGCCCAGAAAAGCGAATCAACCTTCCAACTCTCAGTGAGCCATCAGTTCGAACAGACACAGTGTCGCAGACTACCAGAAGCCGCTTGTATTTGTTAAATCGCGATCATGCACTGTCTGCTTGCAATACTTCTTTACACAGGGGCACATACCCTACACAATGATCGACTGGTGATCATGCAGTTGGACTGGACGGCCAATCACCCTAGAACCTTCCGACTGACAAGACCACATCAATCATCGTCGCCCGAAGCGCATAAAGATATCTATATGGCCTCTAGTCCAATCCAGCATGAAGGAACCTATATAAAAATATATTGCTCTGCCTCGCGCTCTATCGAGAGCTTGTGGGGATTTGCAAGCAAAGGTGCGACAGAAATCCAAAGGGATTACGCCATTGGCTTTCAACAAGATGTGAAATTGGAGGAAAACTGCTTGAAAAACCTCCGGCAAGATTTTTATCAAGCTAATTCAATATCAAAATCACACAAAGGAATTGAGATTCAGGCTCGTCCACTAATCCGTCGCGAGATATGTACAGGAGGCACGATTTACAGTCTAGCGATGCAAGGGAGAATTTCATTGACTGCCCTAAACAATGTACACATTTTTCATCGTTGGGTGAACGATGTACGGGTCCAATACGACGAGGAACTTGAAATGGCGAGCATCGTACTCGGCGGCCAGTTCCTTACTGTTCAAAGAACCCTCTATGATGATATTGGTCTCGCATGGCACCAGGGTAATCTTGATATATTCCAAAAGCAGCAATTCACCGATTTCTGGATGGAAAGTGATAAGATGGCCCGAGGTTACCCCCGTAACCACCTCATCATTGACCTCGTTGCAAATCATTTCTGGGTCGTGGGTGCCATCATGAGAACTTTAGAAAGCCAAAAGACCCATGACATGGCATCAGGTTCGTGGGACCAACCTCTATCCCACGAGCAAGAATTACATCACATTCAGCAATTACTCGCGCAGCTCTGCCAGAGCGGAACTAAATTCACTCAAGTACAAGCGACTGATTATTTTGCTATCCCGTAGATAAGGCACAATTTCAGCTTTTACATGAACCTTGGCGCTATAGATCCGCCGCTTGCAAGGATATTCGGACAATTCACGATTACCCGTTTTACCCTAAAAACACCTCGGATATGGCTTCGGGAGTTCACTTTGCAGTGATCATGTGTATTATTGAACTTCTCGCCTGCTATCGTTGTTGGTAAAATACGGTATACGCGCGTAAACAAAATGAAATAAAATAGATTCAATAACATTCACATATTACTCATTCCGTCTATCTGAAATAATCCTCTTGGTGTCATTTAAGAATGCCAAGTGAATTTTACGTAAGTTTCACTACTGTTACAACAGGTTAATACATATTCCACTTATTATTAGAGTGTACATGACTACTGCTCCGACACGCTGTCTTCCGATTCCTGAAAGAGAGCGAATTTCATTGGATGGCCATAAGTCTGCAGCGCCTAGCTGGCCGGCCTCTTCGAACGCTTCAGAATGGTCACTACGTCTTCGGATCTAGTCCTAATGTCGGTATTAGAGGAGTCCTGCGCCCAGTAATTTTGGAAATTTTGTTCCGGCTGCCATACACCCGCAAATGACCATCGTTTCGCTGGCTGGAGAGTGGAGATAATGAAGGACTAAGAGCTCCTCTAAGTGTATGATCAAATGGGGACTTGTGAGAGGCGGTACTGTCTGAGGGGAGCTGTATGGGAGGCATAGGCGGGGATATACTGCTGGTATAGGTATCATTGGCCTGTAGGTAGAGAGGGCCTGCATGTCCTACATGGCCATAGACCCAGAAAGGATAATAACTAATAAAATAACAAAATACAAACATAAACACTCTAGGTGATTCCATGATCATTTGGTGAATAAAAATCACGGTGGAGACTTCAAACACAAATTGACAGATAGATGATACTACTCTTTTCTGAGATAAATTTTGGAAAAGTAAAACGAGAGCCCATCAACTTTACTTTTGTACACAAGATGCCTCCTACCTCTCGAAACCATACAGGTTTATCTGAAGAAATACTAGGTTGGTGTTGCACGACTACACTTGGAGTGTTTCAGACATCGACATGTTCAAGGTATTATTTACTGTGTCTAGTGTTGAGTAGTCTGCTCTACGCAGAAACATGACATCCTTGGTTTTAATGTGAAACATAGTTCTGCCACCCTTCTGACCGCATTTATCATATCGAGTGCATGCGCTATCATTCTTCATCAACTATTTTTAATATCAAGACTTCAGCAGACCAATTTGATTTATGAATCACCCCAAGATCTTAGGCCATCAAATCTTTTATTTCTCCCTACCCTACCCTTCACCTTCTTCTATCCCTAGAGCTATAAGGTATGTACCGCAGCGGTTTCTGTGATCTGCAGAACAAAAGTCTCTACCATCGTTACTCAACGACTCGAGGGCGGAAAGTTGTATTCATATCGGCTACAGGCGAGCAGAAGCTGGTGATTGTTTCTCATATCATACTCGTCGTCCAATCTTGACCTCGGAATTCAGATGGCATAGACCAGGGATGATAATACTGGGATATATGCATATACATAGACCAAAATGAGTCAAAGATACATACAGGCGTCCAGAAGGCATATAAGCTTCGTGAATTTAGTGCTATTTCCGTAAAATATGATGTAGATCTTACGAAATGCATGTCTCATCCTCTAGAATTTTAAATGCGGGCAGTTCTCTAATATTATAGTAGCTAGCAAAGGCCGATATGATTTGTACAATCTTTGGGTTTGATGAAAACAGTCCACATTTACAATTCGACATTATGCTTTCCAGGAGCCGTATGGAGAGAATATCAGTCTTCCTTATTTCCTACGCGTCTATATTGCTGATCCCAGGAAGCCAATTGCATAGGAAGCTTGTAACCTATTTTCCTGCCGACCAAGGACATCGATTAGATTCGATATGCTGGGATTCTTGACATTGATTTCACTATTCTCATAAAGCTGTCTCATCTCTGGTCCTGGAACACCATGTTTTTGACTCGTGTCTAATTTGTTTATGATGAGACGAACGCCTGGAATGGTAGCGACGAGGAATTTAATGACTTGACGACTCTGCCCTAAATCTCGTGAGTGACTAGAGATTGGGCGCCATGTATTATGGACGTCGTTTCGGAATACAGTCAGGTAGCCTTGGTACCAGGCGAGTCCGAAGTAAATCTTATTGATGGTCGATACATGGATAAATTGACGATTTAGTAACACATCAGATAAGTCAATGGGCCCATGAAAAGAGACAACCGGGGCATCAGGATTGTTTGAGGGAGTATCTACATCTTTAGCAATGACCCTAATTTTACCTTGAAATCCAAGACTATAAATGGCACTTATAGAACACTCATCCTTCGATATGATTCCTGAAGCAGACAGCTTTTTTTTTGATTTTCGTCTGAATTCATCTTCGATAATTTTTAAACATTTCGACTCTGCCTCCATACTTTGTTGAAAGCCGAATTCTGCCCATTGATATATTCTCGTTGTTCCTCTAGTAATAAATTCAAATAGATAATCTGAGGGGCGAAGGTTTGAGCAATATATTGTCATGTGTGTGCCAACTTTTTTGATTGGGCTCGGACTCACATACAAGTCATCTATGCCAGCAACACTAGGGAACCAGCGCTCTTTGTTTGTGATGAATGTGTGATGAGGATTCTTTGGGCGAGCAAGATCCATCACTACCAAACGATCATTCTCGTTTGATGTTCCACCGGTGAATAATAGAATTGCAAGGAAGCAGTTCATTGGTGCAGATTAAAGTCGAGTTCTAAATACCTCTTTAGCACGTAGCGTCGTCGCTGTAACGAAACAGGGGCTAGGCTTAAAATGAGAATCTTGGGCAAGTATTCGAGATGTGGAATCTGGTTTTCTGATTTAAGGTTAAACGAGAGTAACTAGAAGGGCTGCTGGTTGAAGTGATGGATGGAAACTCCCGGGCAATGAGAACATTTAAACAGTTAAAGATGGGCTGAAGGTCAAATTTAAACTCCTCCATTACCTATCCTAAATTGCTGGAGATCCACGAGTCGTGCTGTGTGATTTGACATTTTTTTTTCTCTCAACCCGATGACATACGCATCCTGTCTACGTGTAGACCAAGAATATATGTTCTCTTGATTATGTTAATCCTATAACGCCTTTTCGCCTCACTCAGGCGACTGAGACTTTAACGGCCCTTGTGTAAGTAAATTTTGGGCGGCGCTGCTCCCTTTGTTCCATCCGGCCAAGCGAATGGCGTGTGCGCGTATGAGCTTGCAGCTGCCGGATCAAAAAGCCCGATAACTGATAGATGCGGGCCTCACATCCTTCACGGATTTGCGCAATGTAGATAATCCGCGCAGAGATTTGATTATTGAAAGGCCCTTGAGTAAGGAGTCGACCTAAAGAGGATGTAATCGAATTATACATGTTGGTTGTTCAGATGCAAGGTCCCCTGCATGTCCTGTATTGTCATAGACTCAGAAAGGACAATAGAAGTAATTAAAGTATAATAAAGATCCAAGGTCCTTGTCTATGCTGAATGGCCCTCTTTGGTATGGCGTGGATGAGCCGGCGCAGGACATGGCGTCTGGGCTCAACCTTTCAGTACGCTTAGCCTGTTGGAATCCTCGGCGTGCAATTCGGGTCACAAATAGGAATATATGCTGTCTGTGCTCAGCATCCCGGCTGATAATACATTTACTCAACATACAGGCTATTTGTGTCTTTAGCTAAGTACAATATTGAAAAAAGGGATTTAATACAAGTGCTACTAATGTATCGTATAGGATTTTCTATTGTTCACTATGGCCAAAGTTCGCACAAACTTTTGTCCTTTAGACATCTCCTAGCTCAAAGTAGCGCGAGTCGGAGGCCTTCGTCCATCATGCACTTGAAGGAAGCTCTAGTTCTTCTCAGCCTCACTTAACCATTTAATGAGGCCCAGTGATGATCCCCGGGATATTTTAAGTGGTCTAGGCACCTACAACACTCGGGAAAGAGAAGCCTCAGACCGCATTTTGCGCAGAGACAAGTCAATGAATGATGGAGAAATTTCCAGATAATTCGGGGTTTTTAAGATGCTTCCCTGGACGGGTATTCACGGATGAGGGTCGACTTGGGGTTAAGAAAAAGCTGCCATAACTTCGCAGTGGTACTTGCGAATAAAATCCGAGGCATGACTACCTTTATTCTATATTGAGTCATTTATTCTGTACTTTTTCTCTGATATTGTGTCATCGCTTTATAGCTGCACACGCAATTAAAATCTGATACAAAAACACGAAGCAAAGGTCTTTCTGCGGGTGTTTCGTATTTGGGGCTATCGCTGTTACGAGCGTGTTATCAGGGGGACAAAGACTGGAATCCTGGACGCCGTGTTCTCTACGAACCCGGGAGAGAATTATTTTCCCAGAGTCAAGTTCAGTCAAATTTCGCAAAACCGAACAAGTTGGCCCACGACGCAATGATCAAATACTCTTCACAAAATCAATTTCTCCCACCAAATGAAAAAGACCCATACCAAAACCTCATCAAGTTGACTAGTACAACTTAGTACATCCTCCTTTCAATGAACACATCTCACAGCAACTATTGTCTGGCCTCAGCTGACCATCAAATGAACGCCCACGCCCATATGTACACCCGACGGAAGATATAGAGCGTGGCGTACAAATCTAAGGACACTCCTTCGGAATGGTCGTGAGAGAAATCTGGATAGGTTTAAAAGATGATGCAGAAGATGGGTACAGTCTCGACGAATGTGAAATTTGGAATTTTAGCAATGAGTTTTACGTGCGCCAAGACTTGGGTTGCGAGAGTGCAGGCGACACCATAAACATCGCCATGGTTGGATGGTGCTGTGGTACATCGTCTTGACTGGTCTTCTAAGTAGAGTCTGGGTAGCTTGGACACACATCTCACTAGAGTTAGGAGACTGCTGATTCAAATCCAACAAAGTAGAACCACTTTTCTTGCGGCGCTGGTATACATGGATGACGAAGGCATGCTTGGATAACCAAAGGGTTTGAAACGTCCCTTTGGTGGGTACTTACGGAGGAGGGTCGACTGCTTGTGTAAGTAAATATACCTCACAGTGCTATTTGAGAATGAAATCCAGAGTTTGAGTATCTCTATCGTCAAAAGAGTCATCCATCATGCACACATAGCACCGGTCATGTGTTATAGCTATATAGCTGAATACACATTACATGATTTAAAAATTTATGCGGGTGTATTATAATTAGGGCTATTGCCGTTATGAGCTTGTTCTCGGCTTTCCTTGCGCAGATATCGGGACAAAATCTAATGGTCAAGCCAACTATCTGGCACTTTTAAAGACACTGACCAGCCGCGCTTTGGAGAAAGGTGTGATGTACGGCACTCTCCACCCTAGAGGCCCCTTTGCGTCTCCTTGATCCAAGCTTCAAAGTAAAATGAAGGTATGAAATGAATGATAGGAAGTTTTTATCAGAGAGAGTGCGCTGTCGGGCACTGGGTTGGAAATGGAGACAGAGAGTGTTTTGGACCTACGAGTCCTCCATTTCATCTAGGCTCCCGACACGATCGTGTGAGTATTTAAGAGGTAAGATTGAGTAATATGGTAGCGCTTTAGGCTACATAATGGATACATGAGCGGCTACACGGCGTGGGCACTAGGAGTTAATGTTGTGGCTTAGGCTTGCACTTACTTTAAAAAAGGTCCGTTTAACGTGTTTCCAATTATCTAGCTATAAAATTAATCAGCGCCATGTAAACATGTTGCATGGCTCTTCTGACATTAAGGAAACTAATTGACTGGATTTCATTCGCAAACATCACCGTGTGGTATGCTTGCCCACACAAACAGTCGACCCTCCTCCGTAAGTACCCACCAAAGTGAGGTTTCAAAACCGTTGATTATCCACGCATATCTTTGTCATTCATTTATACTGGTAACGTGAGCAACTTGGTTGTGTTTTGTTGGATTTGAATCAGCAATCTCCTGACTCTAGTGAGATATGTGTCCAAGCTATCCAGACTCTACTTTGGAGGTCGGCCCGAATCATGTATCACTTTAAGAACTAGCACAACTCTGGAAACAGATTGATCTAACTCATGAAATAGGAGTGGGTGCTACTAAAACCCCTGATAAAGAAACAGTCGGAGGCCAAGTCGAGTGCCAGCTGCCACGGTAATCCTATCCACAGCAGCAAATCTTGAAATCGGGGCTAAGGAGATAGTCCTAGTGTTCAGGTGAACGAGACTAAAAGTGTATTTGACGGATAGATTTTTGTTCGTGACTGGTACAACCTAGCACTCATACACCATGACACGGAGGGGGACTATTCTCAACACCTGTCAGTGGTGTCCCCTACGAACCTCCAGCTCTCACTGTAGAGTCTGCAGAGCTGAGATTGAGTAACAAAGTCCTCACTTCGACGAGGATTCCCGATCGCTTGCGCGGTCTGTATCGTCTTCATCTCTCGACACATTCCCCTATCACCACTATCATGAAGCTAACCACGATCAGATCAGATGGTAGGGTCGGAGCCTTTCTCACAACCAACCCTTGACCATGGAGGAAAAGCCGTCCGATGAGTTTCCGGAGCGTACCCAGCATCCGAGACTGAGATGGCGGATTGGATCATGTCGGTCTGGAATGTTACAAAGAAGAAAGATATAGATGAACATGCGCACCTCATGTGGTCCCGGTGTCTAGGCCTCGCCTGGCTGGGGCTGCAGGTTTTTTGAGACATTTTCCCGCGCACGCAGTTTCCATTGCTACCATTTTTATTTTTTTTCTTGGGTAGAAGGTTCCATGGAAAAGGCGGCTAAATGGCTATCCATCACGGGAAATATATCAATGATCTTTCAAACAACACAAGAGGCAAGGAGCACTGTACAGGTGCGGCCTGGGTCAGAGAGGTGCCCAATGTGCTAGATAGTCATAGACTCAAGTAGCACAATAAACACACACACACACACACCATGACATGGAGAAGGCCGGTCCTTCTCTCACACCTACATATGACGACCAGGAGGCGGACCAAAACACCTTCCATCGTCGCCAGTTTTTAGATTGTGAGTGGCACTATCCGAAATCGTTGCCTCCGCACCCTCAGACACCCCAATGTCGAAAACACTCGAAAAATGGGAGTCCCAGGACACCTATTTGATGAATTCTTCACTCGATCATCCCACGTTACAGATGCCTAGGTTCCCTCAGTATATGAAGTTCCAGTAGAAAAACGGTCCCTCAAAGGCTAAGATCCGAGCCTTATCTTATTGTTAAGGTGGAGATAGATTGTGTTGCGATGATGATAGGGAAGAGTTTCAGTGGACGAAAAGGAGAGTATGAGTCTGGCAAAATATAGAAGAAATATATCTATTCTATGTATGAAGATGTAATTGTCGATTCATCTATTTATTTTATTTATAATATTTAACGTCGTGCCCGCGCACAGCACGTGCGCTCTTCACCTACGGGCTAGCCCAGTCTAAATGAAACTGCCCGACGTGGTGGCGCCTACAGACTCCACACAGCAAATGAAAGCCAGCATCTTCTCATCCTGCGTTCGAAGATTAAAATATACATATGACTGATGGCTTCCGATCAACTCTCAAGCGTTACAAATATTATTAAATGAAGATAAAGTTTAAAAAAAAGAAACGAGTAAATTGGTTACATCAACTCATGATTTATCTCCGATTAGACTTGCCATTTTTTTTTTTTTTTTTTTTTTTTTTATCATTTAATGTGTATTCAGCTATAGAGCTATGACACA